GCACAGATAAAGAGGCAGGTCGTAGGGGCCGCTTCCACCTTCTTTTACCCGTATTCCCCCCTCCCCGGTTCTGTCTGGTGGTTTTGTGCTTGTCGTGTGTTGCTTTGTGAGCACGGGGACGTGTATGAGATGAATAAATGTCCCTCTCTGTGTGGTTTGTTTCTCTTCCCACTGCTGCTTCAAAATAATGGATCCCGCACAAAGCTTCTCCTCTTCCTCTCTCCCTATTGACTTCTTCCAATATGAATGAGGCCAGTCGGTCCTCTCCCCACAAATGCCAGGACTTTAAAATTTCTCCGCACGCGACTCCCTCTTGGCTTCAGAATAATGAGGATAAGTTCCCCACTCTTTCCACCCACTCTTTTCCTAACCCAAACAAATATAGAGGCCTTGGTGAACCTTTCCTTCAGTCCACCTGTTGATAAAAATACTGTGACTTCTTTTCCTCATATGTCCCAGTCGTCTGAATCTACCCCATCTTACTCCGCTTGACCATGGGAGCAATGAGTTCTTTCCATTCCTTTTCTAAGACCCCAGAATTTGTCCTCAGCCTGAAGCTCAGTCCTCAAGATAATGGGTACAAGACCTCTGATCCTTGTCATCTTCATTTTCCCAGCATTGTCATGTCTCTCTCTTCTAATTTTGCCATGCTGTACCACTCCCCTCCAAAAAAAAAAAAAAAAAAGGATGGCAGGTGTAATGTTTTGCCTCTTGCCCATATTCCCTTAGCATAATCTTCCCCTCTTTTTCTTCCTCTTTTCCAATGAGCACCAAACATCACTCAGTCCATCCCCCTTAGTAAGCCTTCTATGGTGATCATGGGATCACTTGATTCATGCTCTTCCTGCTGCTATTCCTTGTCTTAAAAGCAGTGGGCACAAAGTCACTCTCTTTGTCATGTCACTTTCCTGCCTTGTGACAATGAGGTCTTGTTGCACTAACAAATGTGTAAGGATCCCTTTCTGCTTTTCCAATGAGGTTCTAGTGTCTGCCTATATGCACAAACCCATTTATCATACTAGTTCTATATACCTTTTAAGCCTCAAGTTCTCTGCTACTGTTTTAAGGGGAATGTGGTGGGAAAGCACAGGAAAGTTACAAATGGATGGTGCTGATGTCTAGACTCCTAAAATTCTGAGAATGAAGTAGGGTGACAATATATACATTGTTCAGGGAAAAAAAAACTAGTTTCCTTGATGTGTTTCTCTTTGCTTTCAGATCTGAACATTTATCTCACTCAGAGAACAAAGTTTCCAAACAAGAAAAGGGTGTTTTGTTTTTTCAAGTGGCACCCGGTGAATATCCCAGTCTTAATCCATCTGAACAAGAGTTTCAGTTCAAAAAAGAAATCTTTTTCACCTATTTGTGTATTTATTATCAAATCCTCTATCCAATATCAGTATTCCATCTGGTATCTTTCAAGGATAGGAATCCTTTCAGGATATAAGCAAAGTTCTCTAACTCTGCTTCATTTTGTTAATATTGATTATCTGGGCCTACAATCCACACAGCAATGTTTTGGCTAACTGCAAGTACAGTATGTATGAGGCATGGGAAAGGTGCGAGAGACAATAATTGTATGGCCAGAGAATGAAAATAAATGCAGACATATTTTAGTATCTAGCTGTAATATATTTTGAAACTAGGATGCCTGCAGCAAGTCTTGGCTGTAAAACAACTACTGCTCTGGGCTGTGGGAAGACTGTTCATTACCACTGCTACCCCCCTCACTTGTGCTACACGTCTCTTCTGTGTGAGGGCAATGTAGACAGGAGACTCTGCTTTCAGCAAGTGTGCCCTGAATTGGCTGCAAACCAATTATCTCTTGTAGTGGCACAACAGAGTGCACAAAGGCATGCTAATAACCCTGTAACTGGACTGCAGCCAGGTCAGAGAGCAGCAGTCTTGAATTGGGAACTCTTTGATTTTGTCCTCAAGTCCTTTTGTTACTAATGGAAATCAGATGCAAAATGTAGTGGTTGAAGCCATGTGCATTTTGCTTAAAGTAAACTTTACCTCAAATTAAGAATCCAGAAAAGAAGATGGGGGAAGGCATTCACACTAAATTACATTGGGAACTCTGTGTTTTAGTTTGTTCATAGTTTCCATGACATAGTGCTTAGAATATTTTGTTTATGTTCGATATTTCCTATTCTCTTTTTCTTAAAAGCATCCTCCTTGTCCTAACAGATGGAAAGGTGTTCTTAATAACATAAGGGGAGTATATCACTGTGTTGTATAACTTTGCTTTATGCAAAGAGAGGATTCCAGCTGTAGTGTTTACTATTAGTAGGTGTGCAAAATCTCCCTGTGATTTTCTCAGCAATGCATCCAGTTGCTCATTAAGTGGAACAGGAGTCTGGACTAGATGGACTTTGGAGCTGCTTGAACATGTTTGCCATCTATTCTCTGCAGGAATCTTTTGACGGAGCAGTTAATCAATGCATGGATTGATCAGAAAACAATCAGGAACAGAACATAGAGGCAATAGGCCAAGTTATCCCCTTGTCTTTCTTTCTTTCTCTCTCTGTCAGCACACGCATAGTTGGCTGAAGTGGAAAACACACCACAGCTCATGATCTTCCCCGAAAATTAAGTAGGAGATAGCAAACTGTGGCTTTCTGGCACTCCCCCCCCCCTCTCATGGAGCCTGAAGACAACTTTGAAGAGTTTTCCTGGAGTTCATATTACATATCTAAATACTAATTGTATTTATAGCCATAGGCCATCACAATAAAACACAGTAAAACACAGGGAAATAAAACAACCAAAGGGAGAACAATGTGGCAGTTATCCCCTTGAGGCCATATGGTTTCTTCGATGCCTCAATTCTGCCACCACCATAAAGCCCTCTGCTGGCAGGGCACGTCTGCCTATTAGCTAGTTCCAAATTCATACATTTTCAGTTCTGAGGAAGAAGCCCAAATTATGCAAAAATATACAAGCTCAGTAATTCTGCATAAACTAAAAGCTGAGTAACATTCAAAACAGTGCTGTATTCAAAGTTGATTTTGTGGTACTAAGTATCACAAGCTCACTAACTGCGTTTAAGCAATGGGCACTTTGTTGCAACATACCCATAAGATCTGTGCAGTGTTAATCTCTTGTACTGTATCTTGTTTGGATTTTGCAGTATGTTCTGGATTTATGCATAGGTTTTTGATGCACGTGGAAAGATCACCTTTCTGCTGAATAAATGCAACAGTGAAGACAAGGGAATGTTGTAAACCAAGAACAAACAGAATCTGCTGCTTTTGCAGTTCCTGTCAAAACAGCAAAGCACTGTTAATAAAAATTCACATTGTGTTCTTCCTATATGAAATGTTAACAGTCTGTAAGAAAGAGGTGGACAGTTTTAGCATTGCAAACTAAACTCTTTATGATTAAACGGAAATTGTTGAAAAGTGTTCCATATTACATTTGTGGAGCAGTAGTTGCATAGATCTGATCCTTTTTACTTTTTTTGTGATATTTGTATATCAGACCTCATGGCAGAGTCATGGTTGAAATCTGGTTGTCAACTCCTAAGACTTGTTCCTTTATATAACACAAGCTCCAAATTTCAGTTGATTTTAAGGCTGGGATCCAAGCATCTACTTTAAAGGCACTCTGGGTTCTTGACATTTTCCCCTGCACAGAGTCTTGACAAAATACTTTGATTTTTCTTTACCACTGCCTGACTTACATGCATATTCCTGTTTGCATGTCTGGTTAGCTGGCATCCTGATTATCTCCAGTAATACTGTATCTCTTTAAATTCTAGGGGGAGGCCTGGTGGGGAGCTGAAATAGGAGTTTGAGGAGGGGTCTGTTCCAGAGCCCATCTTATTTGTTAAGAGAGCAAGTTGTTAGTAACCATGTCAGAAACCTCAAGAAATAATGGCCTGATCTGATGGTTATAGGCCTGTCAGTGTCAGAAACCTCAAGAAATAATAGCCTTGGCCTGATCTGATGGTTATAGGCCTGTCATTTCTTGTTTTCAGAGTGTCCTCATGCAGCATTAATGGTGTTCTTTTGTTCACCCTGTTGGCAGAAACAAAGCATGCTTCTCTGGATGTAAAAAAAAAAAATTCAATTTATCACTGTGAGTTACAAGTCATGCCTCGGTATCCAGAAGCAGCTAAAGACAATAATTGATAGTGCAATAAAATTGTAGTTTTAGAAGAGTTAGCCATTTTGGTCTGTGCTAGCATATCAAACAAAAACAAAAAAAATGAAGAAGATAAAAACATTGTAACACCTTAAAGACTAACTGCTGTATTTTAATGTCATATGTCTGAGGAAGTGGGCTTCCTCCACTTAAAATATAGCTGTTAATCTTTAAGGTGTCTCATTTGTCTGAGGGCTTCCTCCACTTCAAATAATGTAGCAGTTAATCTTTAAGGTGTCACAACATTTTTGTCTTTATATATTTTTTCTTTTGTTTTTCTTGATACAATAAAATTGGTTCATCAAGAAAATCACTGCTGTCTGATATCTTAGGGTTGTGTCATTGCAGTAGTGAATTACATGCCTCATTGAAGGGGAGATGTCCATTTGAGAAAAGAGACCTGTAACTATTTGTATATATGGATATTGTATATTGTTTGTCTATATTATCTCCATTATGATCTCGTATACAGAACGTTCTGCCTTCTGGACTCTCATGCTGAGCAGTTTCTTCCAATTAGTATAGTGACTATTTTCTTTTTCTTTTTTTCTCCCACATTCAGTTGACAATTGTTTTCTGAACCAGTGTGAGCAATGGGAGGTGCTGTGAGTGCAGGAGAGGACAATGATGAGTTAATTGATAACCTGAAAGAGGCTCAGTACATCCGGACAGAGCTGGTGGAGCAGGCCTTCAGGGCTGTTGACAGAGCAGACTATTACCTTGAAGAGTTCAAGGATAATGCATACAAAGACTTGGCATGGAAACATGGGAACATTCACCTCTCTGCTCCCTGCATTTACTCCGAGGTCATGGAAGCCCTGGATCTACAACCTGGGCTTTCCTTCTTGAATCTGGGAAGCGGCACTGGCTATCTTAGTTCCATGGTTGGACTCATCTTGGGTAAGAAAGCCTTTTCACCAGCTAAACTGTCCCTCTTCTTCTCCTGCAGAGAACAGAGTGCTTTTTTTAAAATCAGGCTTCAGTAGAAAAGGAAGTATTATTTGGCTTTGCTTTTAAGTACAGTACTTTTGTAAAATATTTCCAAAGTGCAGTACCAGAATTGGGTACTAGAGGGAGCCAGTTAATATTTCTCTATTTCTTCTGATTCTCATTGTGTATGTATGTAAGCATGTATGTATTTATTTGATTTATATGCCCCACCTAATCTGGCCAAAGGCCACTCTGAGTGGTTCACAATATGAAAATAACAGTAATAATCATAACGCAACACAACATAACTAAAAGTTCATAATAAGCACAAAATAGATAATACATTTCATAATACAGCGGGGTTTGCCTAACAAATTCCCACATCCTCTTTCAGGAAAAAAGAGCAAATGCACAATGGGGGCAGAGTAGGACTCAGGCAACCTGAATTGAGTGAAAGAGTAGCACTCCGAATTCTTGCTCAGCCTTGGATACTTACCTATTTTTTGTCTTTGTATTTATTCTAATTCTCCATCTTTCTCTGAGTCCCACTTCTGAATGTAAACAGAACCCACTCCAGCATGGACACCATTCTCTGGCTGTCCTTTCACTTCTGAAGAAAATAACTTGTTCATATTGTTTAAAGTGTTTTTATCCTACTTTTCAACATTTAAAAATCTAAGATAGCTCACAAGACGTTTTAGAACCATGAATGCTTAAACAAAATAAAAGTGAAAGAATAAGTGCTTGAGATGTCATTTTTTCACCCTTTTCCCCTTCCCAATGAGTTACCTGTATTCAATAATAATATTAATAATCCTGTGCCATCAAGTCAATTTTGATTCATGGCGACCCTTTTTCAGGGATTTCCAGGTAGAAAATACCCAGAAGTGGTTTGCCATTCCCTTCTTCTGGGGACCACCCTGGAACTGTGCAGCTTGCCCAAGGCCACCCAGGCTGGCTCTTCTCCCAGGAGGTCCAGTGAGTTGAATTCCCAACTTCTGGCTCCACAGCCAGATACTTAAACCACTGAGCTATCCGGTAGTATTCAACAGACCTTTCTAAATGGGTTCAAAATAACTGAAGACAAAATTAAATAAAAGTCCATCATTTAATTAAAAAGTGTTATTTAAATATTCAGACTGATGTCCTATTCAAATTGCTGTGCATACAGAGGAAATCATGGAAGCAGCTGTCACTGTGTGCTAAGGTCTATTTGCATGACCAGATACATGACTGGACTATCCTGTATCCCTGCAGCTGCTTCCATGATTTCCCTTGCATGTTTTGTAATTTCAGTAGGATACTGGCCTTCATATTTAGTCCACCAGTCAATAAATAATACATGGTGCTTCTCCCTCTTCCTTACAACAGTCTTGAGAGGCAGGTTATAGATTGAATATCAGAGACAGCCTGGCAAAATATTTCCTGGTACATTTTTTGACTTAGCAGGAATTTGAGTCCAAGATTTCCAAGTCTAAAATCCTCTGCAGCCACGGCACTGCATCTGTTCTTTTTAGTTTTTCAAGTGTGTCAGGGGAAAGAGGACCACATGTTCCATTACTGAATGACATGGTAGTCTCTAAAATATTTCCAACTGTTGGTGTAAAGGACTAGCAAGTCCTATTCATTGTGCGTAGGTCTTTTGACATGGAAGAGGATTGCTTCCTCTGCAGAAAAGAAAATCAAATAAACCAGAGATCCAGAAAAGTAAAACTTCATAGGACCACCACTGAGCTCCTACCATTTCTGGCAGAAAAACTGATTTCCAAAGTATCTTTATAGAAAAAGAGGGATATTTATCTAAATACATGTTCATGGGTTTTACTGGTGTTTTGCTAGGAACCTAAGAATAAGATTAACCTTCCAAGAAGCTATGTGAGCCACATGCTAAACTAGGTCAAACAAGCACAAACTTGAACATGCATTTCCTTCCCATTTTTCTCTCTGTGTGGTATCTTTTCCCATTTCTTTCTGCCAATCTGTTACTTCTCATGAGATACACTCAAAGGAGGATACAGAAGAATCCAATGTATCTCACCTTGTTCCTGTTCCTGTGGTTATGCTAGTTAAGAAATTCATCTTATAGTGTCAATTTAATGGAGGTCTACAAGTAAAAACTGCAATCTGCAGTGACTATTCTCAGCTTCTCTGTAAAATTGGAGGGGAGGGATTGAAAAAATGCTTAATCTTCATCCTGTTTCTTTTCCAATGTTTTTCTTTGCATTCCTTAAATATGCAGGCCCTTTTGGCGTTAATCATGGTGTAGAGCTTCACTCTGATGTTATAGAATATGCAAAACAGAAATTGGACTTCTTCATCAGAACAAGTGACAGCTTTGACAAGTAAGATCAGGGGCATGCTTAACGTAGCTTGCATTGAAATGGATTTCCAGGAAAGATCTGGAAATCTAAATAATAACTTTTTATTTTGTAGCGTATGGTGAATGCAAGGTGGACATTTTACATTTGTAATGTCAGATACTGTAAAACAGAGACAAATTATGATTTTTGTATTATGCTTACATAGTGGGCTAGGTTGCAAAATTAATGGACCTGATATGCTAAGAAGCAAAAATAGATCATTTCTTTAAATCCAGAAGTTTTACATGATGAGAAATTTTTACAGGATATGAGAAGTCAACACATTCCCAAAAATGCATCTGAAATTATAAACAATAGTATGGGTAAGATGTTATATATATCTAGAACTTGCGTGTCTCTCAAGGAATAGACATTGCAGTTTTACTGATTAGAGGAGGAAGAAAGAAATATCCAGAGTGCAGATCAAAACATGGTTTACTAACAGCCATCCCTTCAAGAAAACAAGTGAAATATGCTTCTGTGAGGTGAAAGAGCCATGGCACTGTAGCAGACCATTTGCTTTATATGCAAGAAGTCCAAATTTCATCCTAGATTTGACAGACCAGTGGATAAGAACGCAACAGGTACATAAGGAAAATCTCTGATTCATAGGTCAGAATCCTACTGGTCTTCCTGCAAAATTTGCCGAACTTGCCATGGCTATTTGCAGCTGACTCATGAAGTACTAGGGCACATCGCAGCTGCATAGATGTGCCTGTGACCAGGTACACAACCAAGATCCTTCACCTTGTCAGTTAGCCTTGCACAAAACTTCATAAGATTTCAGCCATTTTCCTCCAGCTGTCTTCTAAAGCTCACCTTGCCAAGCTTCCCTGAGAGATGCTAGAATAGTAAAGAGAGATGTATATGAAATTAATACACCCAGTTTTGTGTTTTTTGTTTGTTTGTTTGGGTTTGTTTTGTTTTTGGGTTTTGTTTTTTGTTTTTTTTTGCTCATTGTTTTTTGCATTGTGAGAAGCAGGAGCTGGTAAAGTACAGCCAGTCAGCCTGCATGCACCCTCAGACTCTTCACTTGCCCCAATGTACAATTTTTTGTGTAAAAAAAGCTAATCTGTTCCTTCTAGGGCATATAAGACACACTTTTGCCACTTTGGACAGCATCCATGGGCCTTCCCACACACACCATAAAAATTGTACATTTTTAAAAAAAGAAGCTGCCCACTAGAGGATACGTAGTGTTTTTCAGTGTTAGGAAAACCTTTTTTGAAAGAGGTATTTTATGGATGGGTGAGATGTGAAAATGGGTGCAAATTCTCAAGATCCAGGGGTGGGCTTTTCCAGCCCTTGAACCCCTGAAAGTTGTACACTTCTGGTTTGTGTGCTTTGTTCAGATTATATGTGTTGAGGAAGGCTTAGTTTATTCAATACTTGTGTCATGTAGAAGCTTCACTCACAAACAGCCTTTCTTTTCTGAGGTTTGAATTCTGCGAGCCTTCCTTCGTCACTGGCAATTGCTTAGAGATCTCTCCAGACTGCTGCCAGTATGACCGTGTCTACTGTGGTGCTGGCGTCCAGAAGGAGCATGAGGATTACATGAAGAACTTGCTGAAAGTTGGTGGCATTCTTGTGATGCCCCTGGAGGAAAAGGTTTGCTTGGGGAATAAGGATCCTTTTGCCTGTGATTTGACCAGAGAGTGCAAAGTTAGTGAAAGAATGACCACATTAATTGTTCACAAGCCAAAAAACCTAATTAAATTGTGTTTACATCCAAAAGAAGGTGTTTCAATTGGAGTTCAGATTTACATTATTTTACTACACTAACAGTTAGAATGGAATAAAGATTAGAAAATTACATCCACAGTTTTACTCTGTTTGTCTCCTTGGACCTTTGCAAGAATGTTTGAAAATTCAATTTCTTACTCACGCAACCAAGAACATTCTCTTGCTTTTCCTTTCTCCTTCCCTTACAAATCTCATCTTCTTGCCCTTGTCCTTTTTTTAGCTTACTTTTAAACAGCCTGGAGATTCTGGTGTGGGAAAATAAACCCATTTTTTATTATTTAGTTCCGTGGTACCCTGTCAGCCAGGAACAGCTTTCTTTCCAAGTTCTGTCCCATACCTGATTAACTTATCACTGGAGTGGAGAAATATAGATGCAAAAATACTGTTACATGAAACACTAAATAATTGGCAATTGCATATAAAAATGTCCAACTTAATTGATAGTTGATTGTAATACATCAGTGCTAACCTATGATCCTTACCTTAGTTCAGCATGGAGCTCTCTTTTTATTTCTAAACTTGCCTGTGAAATTTCAGGGAAGTTTTCACTAGAACAATACCTAAGCACTGATACAGGTGCACAGAACCAAGCAGGGCAGCCATGTTAGCCTTAAGTTACCATTATTTAAAGACTGGATCTGGATCAAGGAAATTGAAATAAGCTTATTTAAGTGAGTGTTCACTGATAATCTACTGTTTCATTTCTTTGAAGCATGATGTTAGTCAGGGCTTCAATTCTATGCACTTGAAATCTTGCACCCCACTAGGCCAGGTTTTTCATGTAATATGCACTGTACACTCTATGTTGTTACACTGGAAATGGTATCTCAAGAAGGTCAGGCTCATTTCAAATTCAGTTTATTTCTACACCAGACGGTCCTTGGTTAATTGTTTTGTTTTCAAATATTATCTGCATTGCTTGCTTACTTTAGATCTGTCAGTTTCGACTGCAGCTACCTCCTCCACCTTTCCCACTGCTTTATCACAATTCCAGTGTAGAACAGGAATGATCCCTATTACCCAATGAGTCTTGGCTTCCAGCTTCATTTAGAGTAATGATGAATTTCAAAGTTGTATGTTTCTAAAGTTGTATGATAGAAAAGGCTTTTTAAAAGGCTGATAAGGAATCGTTTTAATTTTGCTGCCCATTCTAATGTACATTGCTTTATATTGTGGTTTTGTTCATAAACACAGCTGACAAAGATAACTCGAACTGGTCCTTCTGCCTGGGAGACGAAAAAAATCTTAGCTGTTTCCTTTGCTCCTCTGATCCAACCCAATCATACAGATTCGGGGAAGTCAAAACTTGTTCACTTGCGTAAGTCTCCCTTTTCTATGGATACCTCTTCTGTGTTATTCATTGCCATAATCTTTGGGACGAGCCATGAACGGGTCATTCTCCACAACCTAGCACATGTTTCCCCACAGTCTATCACATGTTGTGATTATCTCCAGTCAGCCCACTCTACCCTAGACACTGTCACTTGACTGCCATGGAAAGTTTCATCAATGGTGTGTCTCAGTGGTCATGTTAATATCACCACCACCACCACACAGCTTGTGTGGAAGCCCTGCTTGTACACTGGACATTGCTATGACCTACCTTGATTGAGAATGATATAGTATGGGTCTGACAAATTCTCTGTCAAGCTGCTGTGCTCTCTTGGATTAGCTGTCTCTTTTATTTTTTTTCTTCTGATCCGAAAAACTATAGCCTGTGTCTATTTCCCCAAAGATTCCACACTTGCTCCAGTTTCTCTGTTTCCATTTTCAGCCCCAGTGACAGTCCGCAGTCTTCAAGACCTTGCACGCATCGCCATCCGCAGCACCATTAAAAAGCTGATACACCAGGAAATGGCAGGCAGAAACATAAATGGCCTTAGAAACCCACCGAGGTTTAAGCGGAGGCGTGTCCGGCGCCGAAGGATGGAAACCATCGTCTTTTTGGACAAAGAGGTCTTTGCCAGTCGGATCTCCAACCCATCGGATGATAATAACTGTGAGGAGTTGGAGGAGGAGAGCAGGGAAGAGCCGGAAAAAGCCGTCCCTGAACTGAAACCTGAACCGCCTGTGAACATCCTGAGAGAGAAGGTCTTGAGCCTCCCTCTGCCTGACCCTCTGAAATATTACTTGCTTTATTACAGAGAGAAGTAAAGTCCTTGTCAAAATAAAATCCAGAGGTAGGCAGGACAATAAAACACTCAGTAGGGCTTGACAGATGTATGCCACTTGCTTGCCTGTTGATGTGGCCACATGTGGTGGTAAGCTGGCTGGGGAACATGGCTGCCGTGTACTTATAATGTGATAGTGTTTTCCAGATTCCTTCCCTTGGTTTGTATGCTCCAGTCTTGTCCTGCAGCAGAACTTCTTTGCTGGAGAAGGGGTTGGGGGCAGGCTGGCAGCAGAACCTTTGGTTGCTTACTGAAATGAAGATTTTTGTTCAGAGGAAAACCAAAGGGGAAAGAAAAGCACAACTTTGCTGAAACATCTGTGGATTTCTCAGCTATAGGGGGGGTTTTTTGTTTGGTTTTTTCCCAAGTGGCATTTTCAGAAATTATCTTGAGCATAGTGATGGAATCTGGCTCAGTGGGGCCTGGTTTTTCAAATACCCCACACACAAAAAGCAGAATATTTGCTGCAACAACAACAAAAAGATAGACTCAGATTTTGGGACAAACGTTGGGTGTCCTGTTAAAGTTCGTTTTTTTATCTGCAAGGAGGTAGTTGAGGCAAACCATTTGTTCACAAGGAAGAGTAATATTCCCGGTGAATCAGTGTGATCTCAAAAAAAAATACTTATGAGAATTCTTCTTGTTACAGTAGAAGGAAAGGAAAAGAGGTCGCACAGGGTTCAAACTGAAACAAACGAAATGCAGAGCTTTGTACTGCAGGACTGGTAACTTGAAAAATTCTTAGGGTCATCCAATTTGTGGTTACATTTGAAAGAGTATGAAGTGGTTAGAACAAAAAAAAAGTATCAGAGAAGGAAGTGTCAATTCTTTAAAAGTCATCAGACCTTTCTGAGCGTCTGTTGCATGACTGCCAAACTAGGTATGTAATGCTGGGCATTTTTCTAATTTGAAGCAATACCTGGTTTTCTTTTAAGTTGGTTCAGTTTTCTCAGAGTGGCCAGAAACTAGAGCCAGTTAAATAAAAATGTAAAAAGATGAACATGTTGCTTAAAAGATGGGTGTGTTGTAAAAAGATGGATGTGCCCATCATGTAGTAAAAGAGCAAGAAGCTTCTCTATATAGGTATCCTGGTCTGATCCCCCCCCCTTTAACCAGTTACATAAATTTATTATTTGATAGTGTAGAAACATATGCTTAACAGACAGTAGTTGATTTTTTCTTTAATGCTGGTAGGATTTTTGCTATCTTCTTGTAGTTTTTGGCTTCTGACATCTCACACTTTTAGCATTTCTGCCAGCTCAGGTGTTTGGGATAGACTTAATGGAGGGGTAGGGTGATAAATAACAGTTACCTCTTCCACAGCCCCCCTCTCTCTTCACCATCCAGTTGATCTGAGTTTGCGTGTGTGTGGCTGAATCAGCAGCCTTTTCCTTTATGTATTTCTTTTGTGGTTCAGGAATTTGGGCTTTATCTCAGGTCCACAGAGTCCTGAACTTCTCTTTCTCATCCTGTGATCAGGATAGGCTAGGAAAAAAATGAAAAGAAAAAAAAACAGCTGTGAAGCTTTGCCCACAAGAGCTGTTCTACTTGTCAGCTCCAATGGCTCCTAGCCCTTACATTTCAAAAAGCCAGGTGAGAATGTGGAAAGGGGGTTGGGGAGGGAGAGAGAAGAGGATAAAATTCCTGGTGGCCTCTGCTCCCTAAGGAAATGTTAACATCCCAAAAGGATTTTAGCTTCCAAATTCCTTTGGTTCTGTAACAGTGAGCTGAGAAAGAACTTCCAAAGAACTTTTCAGTCAAACAGGCTGAATTGTCTCAATAAACTTAACAGGTTTAGCTTCCAATTAAAAAAAAACTTTAATAAAACAACAAAAGGTCAAGCTTTCGACAGGAAAACACATCCTGTCATCTTCAGGATTACAAACAGCATATTAACTACATTGCATATGGTGATATACATTCAGTACATCACAGAACATTCCAGGTGTACTAATTGCTTAATTGTGAATTATTATTTTTTTAGCCAATTCAGGCCATTTGACTGGGGTTGGTCAACTTTTTCTATGATCCACCAAGAAAGCAGAAAGGTTTTCAGTATAATTCTATGTTTGAAACCAAAACCAAAAGAAAAAGAAAAATCAACAGAGACTGGTCGGTTTTCAACAATGACTTTCTTCTTTTATTACAAGCCTGTTTGGTTCAGGACTATCTTGCCATGTAAAGCTTATTCCATGATCGGGCAAGCTTACTGGTATCTCACCTGAAATTAGGAGCTGCCACCAGTTCTTCTCCCTCATCCATCCAAAACAAACAGATCCCTGCTTATCAACATTTGGGAAGAATGCTATCATGGGATTTATCCCCTTTCCCGGGTCTGGAAAGTAGGATGAACAAAATTAAAACCCCCAAAGAAATTCAAAGCCAAGTGGCATGCTTCCTTAACTGGGGAACTCCCTGGTGCATGAAACCAGCAGAATGGTTATGGATAGGCTAGATTATTTCTAAGAGGAAATGTTTTTTTCCTAATGTAACACATTCAAATAAAAGGTTCTGCAAGGTAGAAAAATCACAGAGACAGATCTCTAGGCACAGACTTAAAAGATACAGAAATCAAAAACAAAACCCAAGGACACATGTAGACATTTCTGTATAATCAGCACAATCAAACAGAATCATAATTCCTGAAGCACGTGCTCAATTAGGAACCTGATTCTACTCCCAGCATCTAGTTGTTTCTCACCTCCCATTACTCTGGCTTCAGCTCTCCCTTATTGCGAGCTGGAGAGAGGAATGGCCAAAAGGAATTCTGGATGAGAATTTATACTCAGCCAGTGTGATTGACAAATACCTGTTAGTCAACGTAGCATCACCACTGGCATCACAAACTACCTTTCTCTAGAGGTTAACTCCAGGTATGCATGTTGTAAGCCTCTAACATAAACAATAGAATTTCGTTGCTGCAGATGAACCCACTGTTATGACCATTGTTTAGCCTAAGAATTTGGAGCATAGAGAAATAAAACTGGGCCCCGTTGAAACTCTGGACGTTTCCTTCCAGCACTGGCAAGAAATACTAAATATTGCCGAATGAGTTTTAATAATTAGTTTTCATTGCCTTTGAGGTTGGTGTTTTGATTCAACATTGAAACCTTTGTCCCATTGCTAGTGTCTCCGTAAGTTACAGAGAAAAGAAGGACTGTCTTACATAGGAGTCAATGATTTCTCAAAATACTTCAAAGTCCAGGCCTGTGGTGCACAAAAGGTATTCCCCACATTGTACTGTACTGTGGTCTCCCAGAAGGTTAGCAGATGCATTTTTACAGTCCATCTGAAGCCACTGATAGCCGCCGGGTGTTGTGTGTCTGCCCACTTCATCTTGTCCTGTCTGAGAATTTAAAGGCAACCCTCCTCGTCCCAATTGTTGGTGGAACACAAATCGCCATTTTTGTACCTTGTGCATTCAAAAGGCATCTTCTTTGTGAAGTAACAGCTGAAAGTGTAATATCTCGTTCTTTCTCCCTCTCTCCCTCTCATACACACAGAGAGAGAGAGAGGGAACTGTCCGAATCCTTAACTTACCTTGAATACCCAGACCTCTGGGTAGTTTGGGCGGCACAGAATCCTTAACTTACCTTGAATTCTATAAATGATACTTTCAACAGTGAAATATTCTAAATCCATGCGATGCTGCCTTATAGCATGTCAGATGATTGATCCATGTGGTCTAGTATTGTCTCTCCTGTGACTGGAAACAACTCTTCAAAGCCTTCTGTGGTTACGTGTCTTTTCATTGGCAAGTCTTTTTCCTCAAAAGGACAATTGGTTGGAGAAACTAGCTCTCCTTAACTTTCATGTAGTCTCCAAATAAGCTGGTAAGCAAGACTTTTTGAAGTATTGGCAAAAATCTGCCCTAAAAGGAAGAGGCGTCTTCCTTAATAGTGTTTTGGACTTCTCTTCCCCCCCACAACTTTGCGAAAGGCACTGTGTCAGGGGACGTCCTTCATCACCCTATCGTTTTCTTAGTTAATGCATAGAATATGCTATACCATCATATAGGGGTTTTGTTTCAGTTGAAAGGTACATTTCTGAGCAGTTGTGATCTGTCCAGTTGTCATATTACCCAAATGCAAAGGTAGCAAATAGGCAAATGTGTGTGTACACACAGCATATTGCTATGAAATAACATAGGCTGTAGCATTGTATACAGGAGAAGAATTGTCAGTGTGGTATTCTTATTACACCAGCATTTACACATTAATCCAATCAGTGGATATTCTTAGTACATCTAACTTCTAGCTGCTGGCGTTATATTTTGTAAAATACGTTGTTGTTTTTTAAAAAGCGCCCATGAATTGTCTGCTGTTAGCAATTCCACATATCTGCATTTAAGCCTCATGTTGTTATTTTGTAGCTTTTGATAGAATTAACAAGTTGTTCACATGCAGAAGATGTTTTCCTACCAAGATTTTGCTTTCCTGTGATTGCTACAGATGTAAATAGCTGTAGAAACAAAGACTGGGGGAAAGTGACTTTCTGACGCATAGAGAAGTGGTTCAGAATTGAAATTTTATTTCAAAATGCAAGTTTTGTCAAAATAAATGTCCATTTCAATAAACATGGTCACGTTCTAAGTCTGCCTCAGTACTTGTGGCTTAATGTTGAGCCTCCTTTGCAGCAAATATTTATCCGCAGCAGTTTTTAGACTCTGTAATCCATATATGGTGATGATGATGGCCGGCCTGTTTCAGGTTGGGAAGCCTCCAAAAAAGTGTTCAGTTAGGGCGGACGCCCCTGCTGTGGTCCAGAACTGGCACTGCCATTCTTCTAGACAAGCACATGAAGCTAGGTGTTGTGAACGAGTGTCCCCTTCATTATGGCGTCAACTTTTTCCTTCACCCTGCTCTGTCTTGCCAAGCATATGGTGGCCAACATTCTTAAACCATCTGCCTCTGTGAGGGTAGCAGGTCTTCAGTGCCACATTAGCAGTGTGCAAAGCTGGACAGTGAGGTCCTGAAAGTGAGAAAAGGAGATGGGGGTGTTGAATGGTGAGGGGGGGGGTTCATGACAGGCACTTGCTCCATCTCTCTGGGTGTGAATTCCAGGGTAGGAAGAAATGAATGTTTTTATGGGTGGGCACAAGAATATTTTTCTGTGTCACAGGGCACAGTTGATGTTTAATTCCAGATACATATTTTTTTTTCTAGTCATAAGCTTCTTGGAAGTCAGAGCATCCAGTATTTGACCCAAGTTGCTCTAAAAGGAGATTAGACAAATCTGTGGAATATGATCCTATAAAAGGGTGGTACTTCTGATGGCTATGTATTGCCTCCAGGACTATCTCTGGATGCCAGTTCCTGCAAAGCAACAGGATGGGAGAGCTATTGCTGTCTTGTTCCCCACAGATAATTCTGGGAAACGAGGCCATTGTCCTATGCCCTGATCCATAGGACTTTTCTCGTGTGTGTGTCTCAAAACAAGACCTATTTTTGCAGAAGCCTTCCACAAGTAATGAGTGTTTGATGTGGGGGTGGGCAATCAACTAGGCATTCTCCCACCCCTGTTGCAAAATGATACCACCAAAGAAGAAGCTGCTATGCTTGTCCTGAATTTGGAGAATGCCTTTTTGAAATGGTTTTATAGCAGCTTGAATGCCTATACAGTAGTTATTTTGATACTGGTAGTGAGAGAGCATAGCTAAACATGGCACATATCTCCTGCTTTGGTGGTAGGGGGTTTCAGCCTTTCCAAAAAGAAGTTGGGCCCAATTTGTGATGCTTGAGGTTGCTCTTTCCCAGTCATTGCAGGAATCCTAAAACTGGGGATTATTTCCAGAGAACTTTTGTCCTTGATTTTTGTAGAAGGGCCAAGGAAAATAAACAGCAGCTTGTTTGAGACTCAGAACATGGAAGTGTAAGCTAGAAGGGCTCCAGTGTCAGGCTACAAGGCAAACATGTGTTTATTATTTGTATGCTTGTCCTTCCATACAGTGCCAGGGAACCAGGGGAAGTATTCTGTCTTCCACAGAGATGTAGCCCCTTCCTCTCTTGTTTTGTCATCTAAAAAGCTGCATTTGTTGATTCTCTTTTTCCCAATCTCCATTTCTCCTACTTCACATATGAGTGATGGTGGTGTAAGTCAGGGATGGGTGGAAGATATATGAGTTATGAAGTACAGTATTTTTCTGTGTATAAGATGCCCCCAAAATTAAGAAAAATAAGTGGGGCTTAGCAAGTGTAGGGGGAAAGGGATCAAAGCGCTGCAGAATCACTTTGATCCCTGCTTTCCCCTCCACTTGTTTTTGTTCTCTCCTCAGCTTACTTCCGTGTATAAGATGACCCTCAATTTTTAGTCTAAAGATTTTAGACAAAAGTATAGTCTTATACACGGAAAAATACGGCGGATCTTCAGGGGTGAGTTGTTTAGGACTAGCAGCAAGAAAAAGTTGCTTCTTGCCTCCATCCCATTCTTCTCCATTTTGTATCTCTGACGTAGAGAAAGATTCATTCATTCATTCATTTTGGTGCTTTTATACCACCGCGTGAATGCACAGCACTATTCTTGGTGTTTACATAAAAAACACATGAACTTCCCTGTACAGCTAAACATTCTGTAAATAGTTAAGATAGCAAGACACAATGTTTAAAACATCGATCATAACATAAAATGACACCAGAAAACCAGTGTGAGTGCAGATGATGGAGCAGGGCCCGGGGAATTCAAAAGAGGATGCTTTCAAAAGCCTCCTAGAAAAGAAGCGTTTTCAGCATCCTCATAAATCTAAAGAAGTAGGGGGCCATTGTTGTTGGTTCCACAACAATGATGCCACCTCCCAAAAAGCCTTATTTCCTGTGGAAGATATTTTGGGCTCCTTCTGTGTGGCCACCTGGAGGAGCGCGGCCTGAGAGGAGCTCGTTACACGGGAAGAAGACCTTGGGGGAAGACACTCCCAACAGGTAATGTGGTCCCAAACTGTAAACGGCTTTATAAGTTAACAAAACCTTGAACCTAATCTGGGTCAACCGGGAGCTACTGCAGGCGAGCCAGACTGGGGAGATGTGATTGGGAGCCAGCTTTGAGCAGATTTTGGGCAGAAGGACTAAACATTTCTATTATGGGGCTCAGAAGTCCATTTTAAGTCCAGAGGTGTGGGGTTTTTTTTAATTTTATATTTGCACCTGGAGTCTACAGTACTTTAAAAAAGGGGAGGGCATTGCAAACTTGAACTCTTCAGTCTTGGCATCAGAAGAAATATAAGTGACATGATGAATCGGTAAGATCTGCGGAGTAACTCCTTATTTATATATAAGTATAGCTGTCCACTGGCCGAGCCAGGGGCAGACTATAGTTTACCAGAGGAGGTGTATCACAAAGCCTAACACAACCACCAGCTAGCGCATGAGCACAGAGCTTGGGGTTGTTATTTGGGGAGAGGGGACTAGCGCTCCCAGAATATCCCAGCCAGCGCCAATATAGATCAAGCTAGCTTGGGATTTAGAAGGAGTCACCC